GCAAGTATCTCTTTCAGAAAGGAAGACTTTGCTAGAGAAGCTCATCAGACTTCATTTCATAGATCACTGACCAGAATTGGGTCATAGGGCCCTCAGCACAGTCACCATCAAAGGGAAACAGAATTTCTATCATTGCCTGAGAAAGACCATGACTTGTCCACCAAATTTAAACACTTTGTCACATGAACAAAACTAGAACTTTGTTAGCATGAAAGAATAGCAGCATAAACATTGGGTGCACAGCCAACAGTAACTGCCTACCTTAAATCAGTAGACAGTTATTGTATCACATATGCATGAGAACCTTATCCATAATTAACAAACACGTCACACTCTTTGTAATAGAGTTTGTATCAAATGTTTTCTCATTTTATAGTCAGCATATTTCCACTTGCCATGAATATTTTGCCAAGTGTTACTTCTTTTGTTTTCGTTTAACATTTTTTAGTATTTTATTTAACTTGCATCATGAAATCACGTAAGGTTTTGCATGTATCAAATATAAATGCATCCAACTGAGTAAAATTTCTCAAACCACCCTACACCTTTATTCAGACATGCTTTTTCCTTGCCAGGTAACTAATCATTAGCTTAGAATGCGCCCTAATATAATGCCATCTGAGGGTTTAAGTAGGACATGGCAAAATGTGAACCGTAGATGTGAGGTAGATAGCGAGAAACTCCAGGTCTCCTAGGGACGAAAGTGGGTGCCTTGCCTTGGTGCTGCCTTGAGCAGTTGCCCCACCTGGGAAGAAGGGCACGGCAGGCCCCAGGCCCCCATCTTTTGGTGCTACCCCACCTTAATCCTGTCCCAAGCAACTGCCATACCTGAGGGAGGAGGGAATGCCGTACCAATCTACCAATCAGAACTTAGCATACCGGCTGCAAAAGAATGCAGAGGACTCTCTAGTCCACTGGCCAATCGGCATTGGTACAATAGAGTCTGGAAGGTGACTTAGGACAACCTAAGGCTAATTATCATGTCATCAGCTTAAAACTACCTTGTGGTTCACCCATCCCCAATGGGCTTTCCAGAGAGGCTCATGGGAGATTCACATGCACAGTAAGACTCAGGTCATATAACTTTCAACTGTCCATCAAAGTGGTTCCATGATGATGTCTGAACCACTGGGAGGTCCCTATCCAGGCACTGTAAAATAAGATCCATACCATAACCAAGGCCTCTTTTGCTATGACAATGGGTCTGGTCGTCATTCACGGCATGTGTATCTTGCTCTGTAAACCTGTATCTTGCTCTTGCTCTATAATCCTATCTTGCTCCCCCCTCAATAAATTTCACCTCATGCTTGCCTGACTTTGATGTGTCTGGTCATTCTTCAGCCAAGGGCACACCAAGAACTGGGAACACAGAATGAGACTGCCAAAAGCAACATAGACAGGTAGGAGGAAGTGGATTTTGAAATCGAGTAAAATACTCCTCCAAGGGAGAGATGATATAAGACCAAGGCAGTTGCAATAAAAATAGGGGGGAAAAAACAGAAAGATATTTGAGAGATCAAATGATAAGAATTTTGACTGGAAGAGAAGCAATTTCTGTCCAGAAAAAGCTGGGCTTTGGGTGAGGTACACCTAAGTCTGAGTCAAGGCCTTCTGCTCACTAATTCTCAGGTTTTGAACAGGTGATTTTTCTTTCCTAAACATGAGTTTCTTCAAATATAAAGTAGAAATAAATGGGCATGCTCAATAGTTGAAAAGATTGAATAATACATATAACATGCTGGCCCCTGTTAGATACTGAATAATCATAGATAAATATACACAATTCATAGACTAATTAATAGTTCTAATTCCAGTAGTCTTCCTACCTCTCAGACATTTAGCTCCATTTATTTACACAGGGTCTATGCAAACCAAGGTCTGTACGAGTATTACAAATTTGTTAATACAATGAATGCTTTCTTTGCTACACATTAAAATTGGTATCATGGCTTTTAGGTATTCCCTACATAACATAATTTGCAGATCAATTCTCTCACCAGCCTTGCAGAAAAAGCTTACCATGATCAAGTTCACTCACTGTAAATATCTGCCAACTTTGGTGCAAGAGGAAGCCTACTCTCTCCCTTACCTTGCTGAGCAACCAATGGGCAGGACCCAGATCTTCTTACTCAAGCTGTTTCCTACCTGGTGCCTCCCTTATAATAAACATTTTACAAATTAATGAAGCAGGTAACTTTTAGAGAAAACTCTATCCCCCCAAAATTCAATTCATACATACAGCAATATTTTAAACGCAATCTAAGATTAAGAGAATATATGGACAGTCATATTTCACGGACCTAAATGCAATTTGAGATAAAGGGAAGACATGCTATATTACTCCCAGAAAAATGATTCACTATTATGAGAATATCCAAATGTAATTAACTGATTTAAAAAAATACATGCATGTGTCAAATTTTCTTTTCTTTTTTTTTTTTTTTTTACCAGTAACACAAGATGGTAAATCATTACTTTTGATCATGGTCAGATTACATTTGGACTTGCTATAACAGCAGTCCTTCAGATTGGCAAGGGATAAAAACCTTTCGGTGAAAAGGAAGTTCTTCTATACCACAAAATCTTACAGAAAGCAGTGTTGGGGCTATAAAAGAATTGTACAGAATATTTCCATATCCCTTTATTCAAAGTTGATATAATTAAAGTTAGCAGTCATGGCTAAGGATAGAAAAGCCATTTTCAAGAATTAAATACGCCTCTGTGTATTTTCTGGATATGGGGGTAGCCATTAAAATAGTTGTGAATAATAACGAAGCATAAATGCTAATAAGTACTGATAATGAACATGTGAGAAAGAATCTATCACTGTCCCTGTCTACATGAGCCTTCATTCCTGACAGCATTTAAAGTGAGAGAGCCAAAGCTACCTGTTAAAGAGGCTAAAAAAGGACTGTCCGGTCAGTAATAATCTCCTATGTTCTGCTGATTTTCAAGATTCTAAATACTTAAAGAATGCACTAATGATGCAGTCTCGGTTCGCCTAGTTCAGCTAATTTCGTTTCTGGAATATGAAATGCTATTGATTATATCAGCACAAAGAATATAGAAAAGTCATTGAGAACGGAGCTTTAAGATAGCCTCATAATAACCTGTATCTGATTACGATATGCCACGTCCCTCTTTCCAGTCAATGTATCTATAAAGACAAAATCTGATTAATAAGCCATTGGTAAAACAATTTGCAAGAGTCTCAGAGAATTTCTCCCAACTACAGAGAAAATAACACTTCAGTTTTAAACACAATCAGTGACCTATACCAACTTGTTCTCAGAAATGTCATCTTCTTAGAAGTTGTTATAACTAACCTAGCTCAGAAACGTGGCATCTGCAACCTACTGGGAAATGGTCAGCCACGTCCATCTTCTCTGCACCTGACCGGGCTCCATTCACCTACCCACGGTATGGGGTGCTATTTTCTGAGGCAGCCAGAATTACATGCCACCCACTTTCCAAAACCTGTTCTATAACCTCAACCTCTGAAAGAGAGCAATACAGAAAGGATAGGAGATTGAGCCCTGCACATGGGCTCTTCCATAAATCAGTGCGATCAAGGACAAAACAGTATCTTATCTTGCTGAAAAACTAATGGGCACAACATATTCATAACATACACAATGAATGCTTTACAAATGAAGGAGATAACTTCCATAAATCAGTGTGATCAAGGACAAAACAGTATCTTATCTTGCTGAAAAACTAATGGGCACAACATATTCATAACATACACAATGAATGCTTTACAAATGAAGGAGATAACTTCCATAAATCAGTGTGATCAAGGGCAGAGACAACAGCCCTGGTGATTGTAGTTTCACCAAAAGAACTGCAGCATGACTCCAATTATTTGAAAAATAAAATAGCCCACTAATAATCAGGAAAGATTGAATTTTAGTCTAGGAGGCCCACATTAGACAAATGCATGCTAGACATAATTTGGGCCAGACATGTGTTCCTTAGTGTATAATTCAGCCTCAGATCTGAGCAGAGGATGCTTCTGTTACTCAGATGTACTGACCAAAAGGCTAAACCCAGTCCAGGCAGTACTCCTATTCATTTGGAAACGTGAAGTCCTAAGAGGGCAAAACCAGCTTGCCTTTCCTTAGCATATGTTCACTGTCTCAGCTTCAGGGAACGTCAGGGAGCAGTCAGACCAGGTCCATCACAAACGCCTGACCTCAGCCAGATCTCTTCTCTGAGACTCACAGGACATAGTATTTCCAAAACCAAACTTTAGATCTTCCCCAACCTCATCTTCTTCCAGTGTTCCCTATCTCCATAAATGCCACCAGCATGCAATAAGTAGCTCAATCTAGAAAACTAGGAGTTATCTGACTCCTCCACTTCCCTAGGTTACATATCCCAGCCTTTATCAATTGTATCCATTTTACCTCCTAAATATCTCTCGAATATTCCCATTTTTCTCCATTTCCATTAGAATAACAGTAGTCCAAGCTAAGGTCATCCTTCTCCTGTAATACATCATAGCTTCCTAACTGATAGACCAGCATCCATATTGCAACCCTTCTTCATACAATCTATTCTCCCCTGTATAGCCAGAGACGTCCTTCCAAAAGTCAAATCTGATATCACTACCCATCCCACCTAAAGCCCTACAGTGGATTGCTATTGCTCCTAGAATCAAGACCACACTGCTTCCTGGGTTACACCACCTGGCTTTGTCCCCAGCTAGTTCACATCATGTGCCTCTCCTCTTCCTTTCTCCACCACATTTACCTCTCCTGCTTCCTCACCCCACAAGCTTTGGCACATTCTATGTCTCCTTTCTGGAACACTTTACCTGCCTCTTCCTCTAGCTTTCTGCCTATGCTCAGGTTCCCTGGAAAGCCAGGTCTGAGGCAATGACTGAATGCTGATGTTGTGTTTACCGAAGTGCAACCCCGCGCGGGAGGGTGGGGGAAAGAGCGATGGAGGGAAGGATGAGAAGCAATGCAAAGTGACACGTACCTGCTGTGGGCCACAGCTTCCCAAGGTGGGTCCTTTGGTGGATGGACCCACATGGCTATGAGGGACATCTCAGAAAGGCTGTACAGGCACACATGACATCATGCCGTAAACAATTCATCATAAAAAGGGAGAGAGGGAGGAGAAGGAATGGATTTGCCCAGCTCTTCCAAGGTCTCTTTTTCCTCATTACTCACATTTTTTCCCCAGAGGGAGTTAATTCACTCTTAGTTTCAGACTGTGACTTCCAGCCTCATTAATGGGGGAGCCAGGCCCCTGCTCCATGGTATGCTATTTTATCCAAATTTTGCAGTAATGGGAAAAAAATAAAAGGCAGAGACTCAGGGTGCATGCCTCATTAGACTGGCTGTAGGAGGCAGCCAAGGGGCAGAGCCTGGCAAAGGCTCACCCCCGGGCACAAGGTCAGCCAAGGTCGCAGCCTCATTAGGTTGCACAGCGGAGCATCCGGTAAGTGGGGATACACACCTAGGATGTGGCTCTACCCCTGGCAACCATCATAACGGTATTTACAACCATTCTAAGGACACAGAAAAATTCTTCATAGCATAATATTAAGGAAAATACTGTATAAAACTGTGTATAAATTATATTTCAGTTATATTGTTTATGTTAGAATTTTTTTCCCAAAAGCATATGTTACCTTTATAGTTTTTTTTTTTTTAATAGAAAAAGCATGCATTACCTTTATGGTTTATTTTAAATAGAAGAAAATAGTATCTCAAGAAGAGGGGTCAACAAATTCCACAGTAATCCCTCAAGAAAGTGCAAGACATGGAGGGACCAGGAACACCCTGGGCAGCCAGATCCCTGGGAGACGAGGGGAGGGCAGAGTTCTGCAGCCCAGTTAGTAAGTTGTGGCCATTTTCCAAAGAATCTTGTATCTCCAAGGCCTTAGCTTCCCTAGGTGTATATTTTAAAGATCTTCACTGGGATATAACAAAGAGAAAGTGAGGACATGTGCATCTGAAAGCTGACTCAGAAATTCTGATGCTTTCCCTATATTTCTTTTCTAACCGCTGCCACATGGGAA